AAGCTTAGCAAATCTGTGAAAACGCACATTTTCAAACCATACTAGAATGCTGAATGTTTGACATTGTGCATTACAGGCTGTCCCTCATGTTATTTTCATGCACTGGTCACAGTTTGTAAGCACATGTTCAGTGCTGTATAGATTGACTTGAACATACAGATACAGAACAAAAGGCTATAAAAAAAACATTGTCTCATGGGAGCCCCAATGAATGGAATGGCCCAACTCCTATTTTTTGTTTGCCACAAGCAACAGCCCAGCCCTGCTGCATACAGTGTATATATATCAGGGAGGTTTAAGTTCTTAAAGGTTACAAACAGTCTTTGTGCACAGTAATCAGTAATTTCCAGTATGACAATGGTTGTTATTCGATTACCTTGTTTTTCAGAGCTCTCCGTTCTTGAGGACAACAAGGATCTGGAAAATATTCTGTCACAATTCCTAATGCCAACAATGAAGTATGGCACACTAAAGGTTGCAGGATTTGGTGAGACAATACATGTTTAAATATCCCTCCAGAATCTTTGAAGACATAAAAACTGCTTTGAATAATAATCTGTGAATGTTATACATATTTATGTAGATAAATATATGAAAATAGCATTCTAGTGTTAAACTCTGTCCATACATCATTCTGCACAGTGAAAATCAAACATACATGTGAAGTAACAGATAAAATAAGATACACATTTGTCATGTAGGGAGCTTTAAATTAGGTTTTACTTTGGTGGATTAGTATTGAGGCATCTTGTCCTCTTGTTGTAGGACACCTTAGAACAGAAACAGTAATATTTATCTGATATTGGAATGAAACCTTTGACATAAATATAAATGTCTTTTTAACATTTAATAACTTTTTTTGCCAATAGATCTTTGGTATCAAATGATGTTACCTCCAAATTTCAAGAAGTCTAAAAAATATCCTCTTCTTATTGATGTGTAAGTAAACAACACTCCTCAGTGCTGCATCCAAGTTAGTTAGTTAGTTAACATTTAATAATACATGCTGTTGCTGACCTGTGCAGGTATGGTGGCCCCTGTAGTCAGCGGGTGGACTATCGCTTCAAGCTGAACTGGGGCACGTACCTCTCCAGCTCACACGGGATCATCACAGCCAGCTTTGATGGAAGGGGAAGTGGTTACCAAGGTGATGAAATAATGCACGCAATCTACAGGCGCCTTGGGACGTTTGAAGTTGAAGATCAGATAACAGCTGTGAGGTAAAGCGTGTCTGAACATTCAATCACCTGTGCAATATCACATGCACCCAATTGTATGATAAGCAGTAGGTAGTTTGAGGGGGGATTGCATCGCCCTTGTTAATCTTCTATTCCCCCTCTCCATCCCCTAGTCGCAGAAAGTGTGCTGAGGGTTGGTTTAGTTGATTATGTTTAGTCTAGTCTGCCTAACTCACTGATCCTTAATGAGGTTTTTGTTGTACAAGTGTACAATAATCAGCACCAATGGGTAGACAGACATACAGTGCAGCATGCCGGCATACTTGCATTGAGTGTATCCCCCATGCTTTCCCTCAGCCCCCATACACCCAAGAAAAACAAAAAGCAATAAACAAAACAACAAAACATTATTTATTTTAGTATACCTCATATATAATATATTCAAAAGGTACACTAAAATATAATGCTATGTTAAATTGAAACCACTTAAGTGTGTTAAAAGTTGTATTCAGGATGTGCATAAATATAATAAAATGCTACTATTGATGTGCCCTTGAATACTCTTGTCTACCAAAATAGTACACTTGTGCAAGTAAGAATCTATGGCCTCAGCCATGGCTCTGAAATATCTGTAGTCTAACTGAGCTGTGTACTGATAAATACACGGCTCTGTCCATAGTACTGAAGTAGTGGACGGATTTTTTGTTTCTCTCATTCACGCACTTGTGTCAGTTCGTCTTGGATCTATAATATTCTCTAAACTATTTTCTATAAATACTCACCCACCTCACACTTCACCTTCATGATCAAAGTACCAATGTGTAGAAGAGTAAGAGCAAGAGCATCATAGAGACACACTGCTGCTTGTACTATTCCTATTATATTACTTTAATGTTTTATGATCATTCAGTAGCGTCTGTGCTGCAAAAAAATACACCCCGAAACCCTGTTAAAAATCAACATATCACTGACCGATGATGAGCTAAGTTAATGTCTCCTGTTCATAAGAAATTATAAAAAAAGGCAAATGTCTGATTTAGTGGATATCCAAGCTAACAACTAATAACTTATTTCTGTGTTGTAGGAAATTCATTGACATGGGTTTTATCGACAAAGACAGAATAGCAATATGGGGCTGGGTAAGTTGTTGATCTTTTTATTCAATGTTTTTCATTCAGTGCATTTACTAAATTTAGCCTATTCTGATCTTCAGTCATATGGTGGTTATGTCACCTCAATGGCCTTGGGTGCAGGAACTGGACTCTTCAAGTGTGGAATAGCAGTTGCCCCAGTAGCCAAGTGGGAATATTATGGTGGGTGTACATACTTTCCTCCTTTGACATCTTTTCCACAGTGTACTTTAAAGAACTCCACCGATTTGTCATTGTCAACTTTGACAGTTTGTTTTTTAAGTATCAAAATTGATGCAGCAGAACCAGAGATATCATCTTTTTTATTCCATGCATTTGTCTTCCTTTTCAAAACCTGGTGCCAACATTACCCACAATGCAACTCAACCACCAACTGTCCAATTTAGGTATGCTAGTAGCAGCTAATGTAGCAAATGTAGCCTTGATCCTCAAGCCTCAAGCAGATGAGGAACAGGCTACAGGAGTCTGGTAATCACACTTCTTTCTAACGCCACATCCCCAGATTTAGTTTTGAACTTGTAGTCTTCTTTCCCTCACCAAAGGCAGTTCATCAGACTACAGAACTCCCTCTGTCTCTTTTTTCACATATGCAGTAGTTACTCCTCAAGACCTGTAATCAGACTTTGATGTGTAAAATCGGTGGAGTCCCCTTTGAGGATTCAAATCTGTATTTAAATATTGTCAACTTTGAAAACCTTTTTCCTTCTGTTGAATGAGTGTGTTTGTTTAGTATGTACTGTACAATTGTGGTATCAAAGTTTAAGTGCTCTTTTGCAGATGCTGTGTACACTGAACGCTACATGGGCAAACCCACGGAGAATTCAGATGCTTACAAAGTAAAAATTATACAATAATATTTTCAGTAAACTGCACAATTCAGACTTGAAACATACAGTTAAGTGTATCTTTTATTCAACAGAATTCCTCTGTGACGGCCAGAGCAAAGAACTTCAAAACAGTAGACTATCTACTGGTTCATGGCACAGCAGATGGTACGTTCAGTCCGTTCATCCAAATAGTCTTCTTTTCAGTTTTTGAGCATGTGCTAGCCCTGTTTCGCAACAGTGTACCAGGTAATGCAGTAAAGCCTTGCGCAAATAGACTCTGTTTGCCTTGATGGAAAACTTGAGCTTTGATGTTCAGTCACGTACTGAAAGTACTGCTTTTTCCTGTAGACAATGTCCATTTCCAGCAGGCGGCACAGATCTCCAAAGCTCTGGTGGACGAGCAAGTGGACTTTGAGGCGATGGTAAATATTGGCTCAGGGAAGTGGGACTAATATTGGCCTTGATGGTGTTGATTTAATGAACGTTTCAAATGAGGAAAAAAAGGTCATTTATTATTTTTCACTCTCTAAAATATGTATACTTTTAAATGTGTATCATTTGATAATGTTACATGGAATAATAATTAATTATAATCTAATTTTGCTGTTAATTTCAGTGGTACACTGACAAGGACCACGCTCTCAGGGGATCAGCTTCTCGTCACACATACACCCTCATGAGTCACTTCCTGCAGAAATGTCTCCTTAATCCCAAATAGATGTGAAGAATGTGACAGCATTTATAGTGAACATTACCACAGTTTTGTTTAATTTGTGTATATTTTATCTTACTGATATTCTGAAGTGTCAGGTTGAACTCTTTTTTTATGTGCAATGGATGTTCAATTTCTCGTACAAATGAGTATTTGTATTTTATGTGAAATTATGGAACATTTGTCAAAATATGTGACATTTAAAATATACTAAAAGCCACTGCATGCATTTATGGTTGAAAACATATATGTGAATATGATGACATACAGAAGCTGAGTTGCACTGCACTGATTTGTTGTGGAGTGTTATCATTTGTGTTGCAGTCATGTTCTAATGAAAGTGAAATAAACATTGTTTTGAAATATAACAGTTTCATTACTCATTAAGTATATTATAAATATCCTAACTGCATAAACAGTTCAAAATGATTACATTATCAGAATTAGAAATACTTTATTGATCCGTGGGGGGAAATTTGTATTTTATATTCATCCAACATGGTCATAGAGAGAAAACTGGAAAATAGTATTAAAAATAAAATGAAAATATACAGTAGCTTTATTGTTTATTCTTGTTTAACTATACTTAAAACAAAAATATTCCAAATAACTTACAGTTATTGTTTAATGACACTGGGACACAGTAATTCAAACACATATGGGTGCCTGCTTTCGTCAGTATTTATTTAGAGGTCATGTTTGATTGTTAACACCTAAAGCAGCAGCTTTTAGCTCTCAGATATTGCTTCTTCTTTTTTCTTTTTTTCGAACAAAGTCAAATACATTTAGTTGACTGAGACGGAAGCTGACTAATGGGTTGAGAGTAACAGAAGATATGCTGAGGGTTTCTGTGACGGGGTAGTCACCTGGGAGAAAGCTCTTCAACTCCACTATATAAAACTGAGCACATCAAGAAGGGACCATGAAACAGCTTCAGAAGCCAAGAGAGAGCCAATCAACACATTTTACAATCCCTCTTTCAGACGCTTGACAGAAAGGAGCACAGGTGGGTTTATTCCTCCTCCTTTCATCCAGGATGTCAAACTAACTTTTTCTTTTAACATCATTTATTACGCTTTATTGAAACATTTTCTCTCTCTCTTTCTTTGCTCATATTTCAGAAGCTCAAACAATGAAAAGCGCTCACACCTTGGCTGGACTCCTGCTCCTCATCATCATCCAAAGCAGCTGGCAGGTGCCTGACCAGGATACAGATCGAAACTCCATGTAAGATCAACTCAACTTATTTTTCCTTTTTGTTTGTCTTTCGTTTTTGTTAGTTTTTTGTTGAGAGGGGTCCAGTTGGAAGAGATGCAAAGTACACTTGTGCTTGCAGACTGCATTTCCATTGACAGCTCCATGTGTTGCACTCAGAGCTGTTGACATTAAAGGGGAAATGATCTGCAGTACAGATAGAGCAAATGTAATCTATTGTTATGTTATTTTAAGTTTTTTATGTATTTTAATGCCTTCCTTTTAGTGTTATTTCATGTATGGGCATTCTGATGTTTATGTTTTAGTTATAACAGGAACTGTAGCACTTTTTGATGCTAAACTAAATTTACAAAAGTATTGCATAGTGTAATTGAGTCTTTTGAGCAAGGATCACAGCATCAATGAGATTTTTTTTAAATACTACTAGATATGTATATTGTATGTATCGTAGTGATTGGTGGATAAGAAAGATGGAGCAGTGAAGACTTCAGCAAGTAGAAACCCTCCTATGGGACCCTGCAAGAGAGGGGAAGAGCAGAGAGGCTAAGGCACGGAAAATTAGAACAAAAAAGTATGCAGGTCAGGTAGCCATTTACAAACATATGGCAGGAACAGGAGTGTTTGAGATGAGACTGTGTGACCTTAAGCTTAATTATCTATCATTTCTAGGCTATTGACTGACAACTCCATGCTGACCGAACCTTTTGAGCTCCCAAATATGAAGAGACATTCAGAGGGAACGTTTTCCAACGACTACAGTAAATACCTGGAGACAAGAAGAGCACAAGACTTTGTCCAGTGGCTAAAGAACTCAAAAAGAAACGGGTGAGTCTGTCCTTTTTTTTTCGGATCTCTTTAACTTGGTGTCATGCCGTGAAATTATATTAAATATAGAGTAAGTCAAGTCTGTAATATATTGAGAAACTATTTCTGTGCTTTTAAATCAAATCAAATTAATTCCAAAGTCATGTTTTTGTCAAAATAATATGAATGGAACTCAGCCTTTTGCAACACAATTACAATTACAGTTGACCATATCATCTAAATGTGTCCCTTCCTACAGGAGTCTATTTAGACGCCATGCAGACGGCACCTACACCAGCGACGTGAGCTCCTACCTGCAGGACCAGGCAGCCAAGGAGTTTGTGTCCTGGCTGAAGACTGGCCGAGGCAGAAGAGAGTAAACTCAACCAGAGTGCCCCAACAGCTCACTGAATAATGCAACAATTCACACTGACTCTGTGCTATTATATGTTTCATAATCTGTACTAGGCTTTTTCTTGGTCATGCTATTAAATCCCCTTCATCAGAAGCTAATTTTGCCTTCAGTGGTTGAAGGAAATGTTGTCAAAATGCAGAAAAGTTAGTATGTTTGAAATGTGTCTCAATCATAAATGCTTTGTGAAATTTTTATCAAGCATTCACATCATGATTCATTCTTTTCACACTTCACATTTTGGCATTCTCATCCTCACATAAATTTGTAAGAATATGTTACGATCACATTATTGATCTAAATTGCAACTTCGATAATTACGTCTGTAGATAGTCTCGATTTTATTATTCAGATAAAAGTCATATTTAGTTTTCAATAAAGAAATGTGTACAATCTATGAGTTCCCTCTTTAAAAAATCCATTTTGATATATTGGTTTGACAAGAATCTATATCTCAGTGTATACATGGCCACATCTACATACAGTACGTACAAATCCCAGTGTATACATGTACATCTACATACATAAATCTACATGAATATGATGTTTTTGGCACAGTATCCACCTGTTTTTTAATCAATAGTAGTTTCACAGAAACATTTTTTTACCCAGTCGACTGGTAAATGGGATTTTAAAGATTTATCCAGTATAATTGTTGACATCAGTCTTAATTTCTGGCCATGAAACGTGGTCTGACAGTTGGCACCACTTGTTTTTCTGTCATGCTCTCTAAATCCTTCTGTTTATGCAGGCAGAACAAAAATCAATAAACACATCACTCTCCAGGGAGAAATGTGCTGTGGGATTTCTAACAGGTACCAGGATGATGTGTGTCACTTGTCAGCTGTTCACTGGAGAGGGATTTCTCAGTGATGCTCTGACAGCATGCCAAGGAGGGTTATGCTAAATGAAAGAACATGCAGTCATGTCAATCAACTCGGACTCGTTGGGAACACTGACTGGGTCGACACTCTTGAGTTCCTCCTGGCACTGAGACAAAACAGTAATTCACATGAGCCAGCAGCTTGACATGCTTTGGGATGTGCCACCTCTCTAAGCTGTCATCTGTAGCACATCAAACCATCTGTTGATTACAAGAACCTCTGCCCACTTCAGTCTATTTGTAGGCCAAATCTCTGAGGGTTATGAATTGGATGTTTATGCTTAGCAGCATTGATAATGGATGTTTCTATCATGTCAATGCATGTGCACCCCCCTAATCATTTGACTGTTCATTTGAAATGTGATTTAAGCCTAAATAATCCCTGTTGAGTCTTGCGGATACAATGAAAGAAGTTGTAGCAAGGGTACAAAAACATGCTTCACTACTGTGTAACTATTGTATGAGTCGATTGCATTTAATGCATGAATTAGTGTCATATCAAGATGTGTCATGAATGTCTGTTGCTCACCATTAAAGGCACTGTGAGTTTATGTGATTAGGGACAGGACAGAGCAGGAACAGCCATAGGTGCCAACCTTCCTTGCATTCAGGACTTATACATATCCGTCAGGAAAAGTCAGGAAACATCACTGCAGGCCCATCATACCTTTGACACAACCTGTTCCAACTTGGCCCCTCTAGTAGGCGCTACAGAGAACAGTTTCTTTCCACAGACCATCACTCTGATGAACAGCTAAATTAGTCATGTAGTGTCCTGTAACACTAAAACATCCACTTACCCACAAATAATAAATTTTACAGTTTAAAAATACACACTGTGCTTTAACATACATATCATCCATCATCATCAACACAAATCCTGTAAGCTGCGTATACTGTATATAAACATGTATGTACCACACACTTCAAATGTATTTATTCCTTTGCACCATTTGTATTGTTTAGAATCTACTTGTATATAGACATTATCGTTGGTGATTGTGGCTTTTTACATATTACAGCTGTTTTTTACCTACTTCTATCTATAGAATAGTTCAATGTTTATGTTTTATCTTTGCTCAGCTAGGTCAAACATTAATCTATATGCCATCCAATTACCTGGACTCCAGTTACATAGGGATTTTCAGAGCCATACATTTGATCTGCCTCTCTAATAAACAGAACAGTACCTGCACATACTTGATCATTTCATCAACCAGCCAGATGAAAAAATCTACATGTTGCTGTATGACCCGACAGTCTTTGTTTATGCCAAGGAGCGCTGTTGTTGAAAGAAGTGGAGTATAACACGGGAGAGACTGGTGAACTGAAACCATTTTGATTGATGAAACGTTTCTAAGAGAAGAGACATTTGACAGATCAGTTGAGAACAGACAGACATGTTTAAGCAAACATAGGTCTTCAAAATAAAGTAATAGTGGGTGTAAATGAGACATGTTTTCAGTTACCTGGTTGACTTGTGTCCCCTGACAAGTCTTGTCAATTTAGTAATTGGTAAATTGTTACTTAATGTACACAAATCATAAAATTGAGTCATGATGCATAAATAACCCTTATCATAAAATGTTACCCATCTTTCTGTTGTTGCTGTGTACACACGTATGACTGACTGTGTAACAATGACAGGACACACAAGAGTGCTCATAGAAATTTATTACGTTAAAATAACATTGACAAGATATACATAATATAACATTTTGTTTCTTTAGTATTTTTAAAAATAAACCATTTATTGTAATCCTCAGATGTATAACAGATTTGGGACATTTTAAGGGGGTTAAATGTCTTAATGGTTTAATTTATGATTCACTAAAATGTATACAAACATTAAAACTAATTATGTTTTTTTTTTTAATTTACAATATTGTAATATGTTATTTACAATATAAGCAATGCACTGACACCAGGAGGCAAAATATCTCTTAGTGTCTCTTCGGCTACAAAGTATTCTGTAGCAAACATAGTCATTTTATTGCACAAAATAAAGCTAGATAAATAATTTCTCATATAAATAGAGTATTGAGATTCTGGCAGAAAGTGCTATTGCATTTGGTTCTTAAGAGATGTATGTATATTGCCCTTGTATCGATCACTTTAAAGCACTCATTCCCGTCAGTCAAAATCATTACATTAGATTCAAAATAGTCCTAACTGATAAACAGACATCAGAAATGTGTATTTTGCAAGCTTTTCATGTTATAATGTTAAAGGGGTTTGTACAAATGTATGGCTTTTCAGAGGGTTTATATATAGTTATGGTCAAGAAGGACCATGGGCTTTTAAAATACTTACTAGATGTTTATATTTAACTTAGCATCATATTTAATGTCTACAGAGAACTTAATAGAGAAGTTTAGGGAATCAGTATATAAATAGATACAGAATCTAAGGATATGTTGATATGACTGTACTTCAAAATACAAAGTATATAACAAAATAAACACAAATTGATCCGAAGACAAAAACTTGAAAACAGTCTCTTAGCAAGACCAACCTTTTACATTTCTGTTGTTTACATTCAGTGTGAGCAATACAGTATCTACATTCAGAAAGTAGAAATTTGACATTAACAACAGAAGAAAATAGTGGGTTTCACTGATTCATGAAGAGGCGGAATATTTGTGACACATTAAATAATAGTTATTCACTTACACACAGAGATTTACAGGACTAAACTTGAAGGATTAATAAACTGCAACATACAATACGCATTTTGTTTACAGGCACACAGAAGAGACAGTGACAAACACTCACACACACACTGTCCTCCATCTTCTTCGTTTCAAATTCCTCATCTTGCACTCCAGTGTTGTGAAATACTGTTGCGTTGTAGTGAACTGTCAAGAAAGAAAACACAATGTATAAGTAGTAGGTAAACAAGGAGACTTGTCCCTAGCAGTGGTGGATAAGTACTCAGACTCTCTACTTAATGTTAAACCTACTACAAGGAGTCTTTAGCTGGTTAATACTGATGCCTCTATATGACCTAACGAAACAAATAAGATCAGTAAGAAGATTGGCTATTTCTAGGTAGTTATTCTTAATACCAGGTCTGATTAGGTCCCCTTGAAATCAATGAAACAAGGCAGTAGAAACCTCCTTCCTTGGCTTTAAAGGTCCAGTGTGTAGGGTTTAGTGGAATTTTGCAGTGTAGTTACTGATTGAAAAAATGCAAAAAGCCTGACAATAGATCCTCCTAAATGTTACACACTGGAACTTTAAGTAAAAAATAGTAATATCGTAGTGAAAACACACTGGAGTATTATCAGCACAATGTACTTAAAGCATCAAAAGTAAAAGAATTCATGCAGTAGTGAGTGTTATATTATTAAATACTGTATTACTTATTACATCACATGTTATGAATGAAAACTCTAAATCTGAAAAGTAACTAATAACTACAGTTGTTAAAAAAAACAATGTAATGGAGAAAAATATAAGTAACATAAAGTAAACTAAAGAACAAGTACCTGAAAATTGTAGGCTACTTAAGACCCATAAAAATAATGTATGATGTTCCTTGTTCTTTCCCCCACTGGACACCTGTTGCATTTCATTTTGTGGCAACTGTTGGTGTTGCAGCCGGTGATGAGTTACAGTTTCACTTACTGAACTCTGGTGCAGATCTGTTTTGCATATAGATTACATCTTCTTCAATTTGCAAATTCCCTTTATCACATTTTAGAGTTAGCTGAGCATGCGAATGTTAAGAGGTCCAAGTTGAGGGGAAACAGTTCTACATTTTGAGAAATGTCATTACTCACTTTTTTGTGAAGAGTTACAAGAGAAGATTCATACCACTCTCATGACTTTACAGTAAAATTCTCCAAATTGTCAAACTATTCCTTTAAACCTTTTCAGTGCATTAAAGACACAAGAATGGACATGTTTTTTAAAACATGCACATTTTGCACATCACTTTTACTTGTATTTCACACAAAAAAGATGTGCCTGATTTGGAATGACTCATAATGCTCCCTATACAGATTTCTGTAAATTAAAACAGATAGATAGATATACAGATATATATAAAGCATCACAAGACGAAGCCAAATATTTAATGAGTTAATGGCAGCCAACCTTGGAGATAAATACTACTGTAGCACGATTTCTTTATTGAAATGTTTACCTAAGCTTATTAGTGCCCACACATAGTGTCTAATTGAATTACCACATATTTTAATGTTTCTTTTTTTAGTTTTTGAGTTGAAGTATGTATTTGAGTCAAAAAGATGCTGCTTTTATAATTCGCAATAAGAACTCTATTTTCATCTCTGTCAACACAACATTATCCAGATAAACAATGAGTGACTGTATATTCAACACAGCAAAAAGTCTTACCATAATGTTTTGAGGTCTTTCTCAAATGTCTTAGGTTGCTGTCCAAGTATTTCCAAAAGAACCTTTTGACATTTCATCTGTGATATTGATGATGGGTATTCCTCTGTTAAAAGAGAAGCCAGGTAACAATTTACATCTTTATGCAACAAAGTAATGTGCTGTACATAAAATGGCATTTAGAAAAACAGTCACAGTTGAGTAAATGTTACTAACTTACTTGTACCCTTCTAATGGCACTTGCACTACTGCCTCATCTTCCGCCAGTATACTCTGCTCCTCTTCCTGGAGGTTGAATAAAATAAAGTTTAAATGTAAAAAATTGCATGCTGTTCTATAGCTGTTTGTTTATGAGAGAAATAGTACCTCTTCAGCGTCCTCAAGCTTCTTTTTCTTACTCTCTGGCATGAGGTCATCCAGCCAGCTCATCTCTCTCTTGGTAAAGAAACAGTCCATGAGCTTCCGGATGAACACCAGAGCCAGTACCTGCAGAATAGAGACACAGAACTGAAACATCTAAGCACACAAAAAATGGCCAAATAAAGGAGTAATGCTGTGCTGAAGAGGTAGATGGATTAAAACTAATAGGAAGCAGACACTAGTGGTAGCATGAAAGACAAATCAGTTGAAATGGACTCCCTTATTGTTTAGATATAGTCAGCATGTTCCCTGTGTTATTTTGGGAGTAATATGAAATAACTAACAAAGCCATAACAACAAAAAAACAAACAAACTGCTTTGGTAAACAGAAACTGCTGTCACAAAAAATGAAACAAACCCACAGAGCGATGATCCTGACCAAATATTAAGTCTTTTTGAGTTTACATTATTATAAGGCTTATATATTATCATATAAGGCCTGCATTAATCCCAGTGTATATGGAAGGAGCCCTACTAACCCCAGTAGCATACCTGTACTCATATACTGAGCCCTGCTAACACTTAGATTTGTGGTGAAATGTATGCTGCCTGTGTAATGGTCCTGCAGAGGGTATAATTGGACTGTTTACACACCATCATGGGAAAAACAATGGCAGCCTTGGAGGTCTTGATGACCCAGAGCATAATCAAACAGCTGAGCTGGATAATGGTGAAGAGGTGCACCTTCCTCAGGGGTACATGTCGTAGATAGATGAAGTCTGGCTGATGCTTTGCTGGCATACCAAACAGTGTCAGGCGGTCAAAGAACTGGAGGGGATAAATGATAAGCAATTATTAAACCTGCAATAACTGTCTTTTTTTGGGCCACTTGGGAGTAGGAAGGGTCTCCCCAGCATCAAACAGCAATCGTTATTGACTAGCTGGTGGATAAAATCCATTTATCAAGCTAAAAGTTGCTCTGCGTCTGCTAGATGTGTAACTACAAAAGGCTGGAGCTCCTGAAAAGCATAGAAGGACACCTCTGCAATAAATATCTTTTTTCCCCCAAACACATTTGTCTTAATTTAAATATAATTTTCCAAACCAATAACAGTAAGTACTTCAAAGTGAAGAAAAAAAAGAAGTAAACAGGGCAATTAAATAACAGTCAGGTGTTCTGTAAATGCTCGGAACACACTGGAGGCCAATTAACACTTTTTATCTGGGCAACCAGACAATATGGAGGCGATTCCCTATCATGGTTTAATGAGAATTAACAGTCTACACAGATTATCCGGAGCGTCTACAAATTAAAACTTAACCACACAGACCAACTGTCTGTCTAATCTCAGCCATGCAGATAATCTAAAAAAAGTTTAATATTTACAACAGTAATTCTGCACAGGTTCTTAAGTGTTTGATAATCACATTTTAATTTTGTGAGTGCACAGCACTGTTTTCATTCCTAATGTGAGCATTAAGAAAATGTATGTGATACAAATTTTTGTGTGATTCAATTTACTTTCAACATCAGTTAATTACATTTAATCGACTAAAACCAAAGACAATACCAGAGTCAGTCATATGAGGCAAGTGTTGTATCACCATGTAGTCATACAGTATAATGTGAGTGAAAAAAGATGCATACATTAAATACAAAATCATTTTACCTGAATGCCTTTGAGAGAAGATGCTCCCATGTACAGGAACACTCCATACAACACGGGCATAGGAATAAACTGAAACACAATAAAAATGTCAGTAACAGTTCTATTTCAGCAGACCAACTGTACTGTACTCAATAATTAACCAAGGAACATTAAATGGCTTCAGGATGAAGCACAGAAAAATGCATAGAGCAAATACAGAGGGATACTTTACATCAGATTAAATAATACTGGGAGAATAACTGCACACAAATCAAAATGCACAAATAACAAAAAGACAGTGTCTGACCTTCAGCACAGATGTCATGAAGACAGAGCATCCCATGAGGGTGAAGATCATGAGGCCAGTGACGCGTTGCTCTCTGATGCCGAGGAACTTGGGCTGTTCGCCGGGAGCCGAGCACTCTGACTCAAGCTTCAGGCTGTTGACGTGGGTGATAGACAAAACGGTGGCTGCTACGAACCAGGGCAAGCCCATCAAAGAGCACACACCGAGCATCACCCCCACCATGAACAGATCCAGGTGGTACCCACAACCTTTCTGAAAGGGGAAAGCCCCAGTAAATAAAATGTAAGTCAAGCAATTTTGCAGCACTTTCAGACATGCTGAATTCAGATGCTGCACAAACCATTTTACTAATGCAGTCTGCAACCAGAGTTCAAAGCTGGGACAGGAAAGTACCTTGAGTTTGTGTTCTTTCCTGTTGATGATGACAGCTGTGATCTGCTGGTCCATGAAGATGAGGATGGTACAAAGCAGAGCTGGGACCACCGTAATGACGGCGGTCCACCAGGGGTTGGGCCCCAGTGGGTTGATGAACCAACCTCGATCATCTCTGGTTGGCTGATTTTTTTTTTTTTTTTAAAGGTTGTTGTTGGTTAGAGATAAATATTAGTAATTAGTAGAGAGTTGAAATTATGATGTTAGATAGCAATTTGTTCATATAAATCTGGCAAACTGTTTCTTTTGAGGAGTGGCTCACCTTAAACACACTGGGAACCTTTAGTTTTGGAGAGGGGATCCCTAAGGCATAGTCGACTAAGACCATGGTAAGGATGGTGAAGCAAACAGCAAAGTCACTGATGATGGACCTCACCTGATGAAGGGTTAAACATGTAAAAATGCATTTAAATCATTCAGTTTCATTTATTTTACCCAATGTATTGAGAAACAAAAGGGTTACAGGAAACAGGACTCCTTGTTTCTAGTGTGCAGTACCTATATTTGACCACTAGAGTGTACCACTGCACTATGCTTCATAACCACAGCCATGTTTAGCAGCTGTAGCAGCTTTGTCTACATGCTTGGATCATAATGCACTTTAATGGAATGATAATGTATGAAGAATAATACCTTTGTGGGAAAGTAATTACTGAACTTGAAGTCCTTGAGGAAAGCGGACATGATGACGGTGGAAAAGAAGAGAATGACACACCAGAAGAGGACATCAGGAACGTAGGGTCCATGAGGGCCGCAGGCACTGCCCACAAACTCCCCGCGCTTCTCAATACAATCCTGCAACAACAGGTAGAGGGTAGGTATTTATCCTTAGCATATGATTAGCAATAAACCAGCATCGGCAGACTACATTTCCAGAAACAGGGTTTATGTCCACAAAAAACTTAACTGAGTACAAAAAAAATGTGCTTTCATAGTGATTTGCCGTGAGTAATCCAATATAATCCAGCCCACATGCCCTTAATCTCCTCTGTTCAGCTTCCTCCATCTGGGAGAGCATGCCACTTTAAGGTGGAAAACCTAAATGTAAGCTTTTCAGTCTGTCTTTGTGTAACGCAAAAATTCATGACCGACAGATTTGTTTTTGATTTTTTAAAAGCCGGTGTGGGTAGTACCTTGGCCTCCAGTGCTTCCCAGTAGATTTCTGAGGCAGTGACATTATTGAGCTCCCAATATTTCAGGGTACCATTGGTGGGGTCAGAAGGCTCAACGCATGAACATCTGTGGAAGCAAATGAGCATCTGGATGACTAAATAATCCCTGTAACCATACAGGATTAACAGTACCTCCAACGAATGTATTTATTCTTCTTTTTAACTACTTTCAAAAATATACTGTTTGAGAGTATTGTAGGAATAAGTGTCCACATACGAGTACATGGTGAGTTTGTCCAGGTTGTTGTTCTTGTTGAAGGGATAGTGGTCTCCAAGGTGGATGAGTTTCTCCAAGGCTTCGTAGATGAAGATGATGCAGATGAGTGAGGCGAAGGCTTCCTCTGTGAAACGTGTGATGTAACAAACGAGGGAACTGGCATCTGTAGCCACCAGTACGATACAGAGGAAAGCTGTCCACAGACCAATACAGGTTCTGAGTGACAGATAGGACAAGCCATACTCCCTAAGTGGAGATAAAAGAGTGGGACATATCAGAGATCAAACCATGTTATGTATTGACTATTTACTCTTTGTAATGTGGAGGATTGGAGGAATTCATTATTACAAATTAAATGTCAATACATTAAGAGTATTTAAAGGTCTATAAGAAGCCAGATGTTTGAGAGACTCGTGTCCACATATCCCGCAGAAAAGCCAATAAACGTCAGACAATGTAATCACAAAATTATGCAATGTCTAGATTAAACAAACCTGAAATCATTGGTCATTTAGAGTGATTATTTATAGTGTACAGTCAAATAAAAAGACAACATACTTGCAGAATTTGAACAATATCTTTTCAAATACAAGCACTGGCCCGGTGCTGCCGAGAATGGTGAGGGGCTGCCCGGCGAACAGGGAATAGGCTATTCCAGTCAGCGAGGCTCCAAACAGCGACTCAATTGCACTCTGGGGAATGAGAAAGGACAGAGAGATAACTGATGGACAGTTACTTTAGAAATCATCACCATATTGAACTACAACTGTTGTCTAGTACAGTGTACAACGGTGCACAGCCAGTCTTGGCAGAACACTGTGAACATTTAGAGGAAAGGGCATGTGATTTACTATGCGTCCTTCTGTTGCCTCGCCCAGTAGTCCTCCAAAGGTGATGACAGGGGACATGCAGGCACAGTAGAGGAAGAGGAAAGAGGCCACACACTGTAAGCTTAAAGCATCAGTGTAGTCGGACAGGTAGTGGGGTGCCTTGCGCTTGATGTCTAAAAATAGACCACCGAACCACCTGGAAATATAAAAAGAACTTATTCACATGTGAAACCTTCTTTAAATAAGAGATAGCCTAATAACATTTAGCAATATAAATTAATCTTCATTTTGACAGCATTGATCTTATAAAAAAATATATACTACAATTTGTTTCTTTTTCCCTAACTTGCTTTACCTCCATTCCCAAGTATGGCTTAGTGTGATAGGCCTCTGTGATAGAAAAGTCTAGCTGCAAATAGACATCTCAAGACAGGATGTTTCTATGGAAACCACTTTATGACTACAACTACAGACCAAGTTTAACAACAAGTAGCCAATCCACTTTGCATTGTACATTTTGTAGAAAAGTGTTATTTTTCAGTTTATTGGCTTGATTTTAGAAAAGTCTATGTACATTTTAGAAAACTATAAGGAAAGAGTGAATTATGTCATTTATATACATAAAACTCTTCCACATCTGGCATCATTAGCCAGCATTAGTATTCTTTCGATTAGGTCCATAAGACAATATTTTTGCCAATATTTCCTTTTGCTTAAACAAAAAACACCTTTGTGATTCCCCACCTTCCTGTACGCTGCAGTTCTGGACCCCCATGGCCACCTTCCTCCTCTTCATCATCACCTTCTACTAATCCGTTTGGTAAAATGTTACTTTTCTTCCTCTTCTCCTGTTTAACAAACAGTCCACAGCAGTTAGGTTGTTTTTCACATGCATTTTTTTTTTTAAGAAAAGAAGACAACCAGCTTACTGAATTCTTACCAACCTGAGAAGGTACATTTTTTGGAGGCTCTATCCGTATGGATGGGTCCCATTCTCCTGGAGGCAGGACTGTCACTTGATCGAGGAATTCATCAATCCCAGCAATCAGATCATTGCGGTCTTTAGCTTTGTAGGCAACATCATGGAAAACCTGGTAAAAGAAAAACAAATAAGAGGTGGATTACGGCTGCACTCCTGACTCAAACTTTGACTAAGTCCGGTGCATATGCTGCACTCTATGTGCAAGCCTCACCACTCCCATTGCATTTGACATCCTTAAAGATACATGCATGTGTATACAAACATGTGCAGAACATACCGCACAGCCAAGTTTAAGCTAATCAGACCTAGGACCTGCTCACTATGAAACCACAGCATTAACCACTGACTCACAATTATACCTTATAAAACATGCAGTTTCATCAAACTGACTGATTCCAAAGAGAGTATAACAAAGTTTGGAATTCGTCAAAGCCCATCTTTTCCTCAGTGTTAATGGACGGCAGCCTAAATCCCGGACAAAAAGGAGGACATGAGGGCTGACTAATCGCCAAAACATGTCATAAAAGCTCTGTGCTGTGTCTCATGCTGAGAAATGTTCTATCACTTCAGGAATTTGTTTAGTTATGCTGGACTGTGAATTTATGCAAAAGTGCCTGTAGAAAATCGACATCTGGTTGACATTCAAAACAATTCACCCTCCTCTAAACATTAATGAATAATAAACCCTACAGGTGCTAAAACGGTAAAGTGGTGAATTCTTACATCATCTGTCATAAGTGTTGCAATGGACCTCCCAATCTCATGATACTGAGAGCCTCTCCCCATTGGCCCTAAAAGAATAAACAAAAACCTGAAGGCAAAAACAGATATTTTTTTAATACGCTGTCAAATCAAATCTGAATCAGAACTAACTTCGATGCATATTTACTTAATGGTAAGGTTTAGCAGGGTAAATAAAGAGATATGTATAGCAAATTTAGTTGAATCAGCCTGCAGGAACCTTGTAGCGATGGGGACTTCAGTCAGCCCACTGAGCAGGACCGCCGGTGAAAGGCGGACAAATGCCACCACCGGCTTGTTCAGACATTCCAGCTCTCCTACTAAGACATTACACGCCTCAGCCCCCGGGGGGATCTTTTTCATGAAATGAAGGTCAATCTGAAAGAGGACACAAAGTACAGTGTTAAGAGTAACATATAAAAGACCTTGACACCCTTTTCCCGTTAGCTTAACGTCTAAGCTGCTTTGACTGAGAGCATGCTTTGAAAAGATAAAAAGATCATTCATGTTTTAAAAAGCAGTCTATAAATAAATAATTATTGTATCCTCACATTAAATCTCAAATGAAATGGTTTGACTGGATTCTAGTCGAAATTGAGTGCGCATGTCCAGGCTTTGTGTTTCATAGGACATAACATTAGATAAGTCACAGATGTGTTCAAATAAAATACTACAAAATATCATTTAAACATAGATGTTACCCTGACCTGTTGCATTATAACCCATAAGGATGAGATATAGTTCATTCCCCCAAACTGTGATGCCTAAAAGCATATAAAAGTTGACCCTGACCATGAAACTGATCCTCTTACAGTAGCTAAATCTGATTTCCACTCTTTTTGATGCAGTAGACCTCCATTGTACAAAATATTTTGGAATATTAAAGGTGTTGATTTTTCAGCGATAATTATGTGGAGTTGACAAGTGTTGACTGGAGTGTTGTTTGTTCCTTCATAGAGTTCATGTGGCTCTAGGGCGGTTGTTCACAACTATCCAAAAATTATTATTTTCTTGATATATTGATGGGTCGTGACTTACATAAACACTGGTAGAGTGCTGTTTTGCTGATTATTCTTTGCTGTGTGTACACTCCATATATGTCGAACACACTTTGTCCCAGTGAACAGGACAAAAGCATATAAAAGCATATACATTACGCCGGAGGATTTTATCTTTGTCTGTGTTTTGAGGGGTTGTGATGTTCAGATCATCACAGCCGAATTACTTTTATACTTACTTAACATGGTTATAATCCTAATCCCTTACTAGATGATTGTAGGAGCAAGAGATGCATTTGGGCATTTGGGCTGCACGCCTGTCATTCAGTCACTCATTCAGTAGTTGTGTGTGTGTATGAAGGTGTCAATCATCATATTTACTGTATATGAGGACCTATTTCTTGCATGTAAAATCTTATCTTGCAAATTAATTAGTAACTATACCTGACAAATGAATATAGTAAAAACTACAGTATTTCCCTCTAAAATGTGCAAAGTAGAAGAATAAAGCAATATGAAATCAAAATACCTAAGTAAAGCACAAGTTTTCTTATATTACACACATAACTTTAGAAACACAGTACTCTATGTCTGTATTACAGTGCAACTGCACAGTGTGTGTACTGTACCTTGCTGAAGTCCACAGAACTGTTCTCTCGACTGGCGTCAACTTTCCCATCTGAACCAGCTAACTGAGACTGGGAGGATGACATCTGACCTGGATAATCCAGACGGGTGAATTATGAATCAATTCCAAAATAGTCTCAACATTTCAGCAACTGATGATTTCCTGATATACAATGAGAATGACAAGGTATAGAGAATATCTCTAGAAAGGGAAACAAGAGTGAGGATCACACACAGATCACAGAGGCCAGCTTTTACGAGTGCTGTTGTGGATAAAACCACCCAACTATTGTTGTCTCAAAAAATCCAGGCTCACGTTAACGTGATTACTGCCAAGCTGCCTGACCTGCCTAATTTCTGTATGCATTATACAACGGGGTCAAAAATTGACACTAATTATACTGTTTAATACGCTCACAAAGCATGACGTGGAGCTTACCCGAGATTGTTGCTTTGAAATTAGCTAGAATATGCCACACCAGTGAAATTAAATTGCTCATGATGTGCCACCAAGATTTCTAGTAAACTAGAAAATGATTTGCTGCGTTCTGCGTAACTAATTTTGTCATGTGGAGTGTTGGCAAACCTGATGCTTACAAAATGTAGTTGGCAATGATGTAGACAAGTAATTCTTCCAACTACAAGCCTGTCTGTGACTAAATTTAGCCCAAATTTGAACCAAATAGTTCTCCTATGCGAACATCAACAGAAAACAAATGTGTATATTTATATAATTTACTTTTGAAGTTTGTTTTTTAACCTGCTCAACCACTTAAACCCAATAAAAGCAAGCTATTTTGAGTTGCCACACAAATCATGAGGATACTCTCTACAATATGTTATTTAAGTATAAGCTGGTAAAAGGTGTATAAACCAGCACCTGGTGACTTTAGTAAGGCTATGGCAGGTGGGTGGGCAGATGGTGGGTGGTAGACCAAAAAAAGATAAGAATATATGCAAGTTAAGAGCATATGCTTATAACACACACACACACAGACACACACACACATTGCACAAGTATCCCACACTTAAACACTACAAACCAGATTCATTAAAACAGTGGTTTGACCTGTGACCCCTTAAAACAAAGTTATGTCAGTTCACATTGTTAATTACTTAATATTATGTCAACATGTTTTCAACCAAAAACTGATTCTTCTTCTAAGAATGATTTATTTAAATTATAAAGGCCTGAAGAAGTAGAATTTTCCAAAAATTGTCCAACAATTCACAAGACAAAAAATACAAATTTAGAAAGAAGATCCCTCAGATGTATCTTGCAACATCTTAGACGGTCCCCAAGGTTGGGAACCACTGCAATATAGCAGCAGCCTTTGCTATCACAGAGCCATTTTGGCCAATAAAAAACAAAAAACTCAACAACTCTAAAAAGTCAACATATAGTTGAGCTTTATTATGCAAATTTCTCACCACAGATCAAGCATTACCAGTGACCCAGCAGCGTTGATGGTGAAAGCATCAAGATGTAAAGTATGACATTACATCTCACATTTTAGTTAAACGTTGTTGTCTTTTCTGTGTGTAATGGCTACACGGCTTTACATTTATTTATTTCCATCTAATTTTTTGTCGAAGCCAACGGGAACCACTAGAGAGGGGTTAAAAGAGCTGCTTAGGGTTCCAGAGCTGCAGGTTGCCCACCCCTGCAATAGAGGAACCACAGCTTTTCGGTTTTCTCACCATTCTTGTCCAGGTGGAGCTCCGATGTCCGCCGACCCATGTCAGCAAAGGAGCGCACAATTGGCAGGCGATTAGCCAGCTTCTTCTGGTTCTGGTGATGGTGCTGCTTCAGCAGTGTTTCACGTACTTTCTTTCTAAGATCATCTCCCAGTGGTGAGTATAGCTCCTGGTGGTCCAAGATCATGTCTAAGGTGGACACATAGAAGCATGTTTCATTCATGTTTCAGGGTTCTAGCTGAGGATTTTGTCCAGTGCAACTTGATCTTAGTGCAAAGAATAAGTACACTAATATTCCTATATTACAAACAGTGCATCAAACAAATGTAAGGAGCAGAAACTTCCAGCATTAAGAAAACAAATAACATTAACTCTGTGTCTCATAATAGTAGTTACCGGCAATCTCTTCTATGGTATTAGCCCTCATGTCAAGCAGCACAGTGCTGTTGATAATGCAGCTTCGCAGCTCAAACAGGCTGTGCAGAGACAGAGTGGCTACATAGGGCTTACTCCATCGCTCCCCTCCGTCCTCAACATCCTCCTCGAACTTCAGCCACCTGTAACAGGAGTTTGACTATCAGTCAGAAGAGGCCAGCAGACGGCAAAACCGGCCAGCCATCTGTTCTAGCTGCAAAAACAGCACTCATACATTCTAGGTCCCTCTCTCCTCCGATTTAGCTCCAATATGTCTTTCTCTCTCTCTCAGTTTTATCCATTTATATGTCACCTGTATACAAGTATAAATAACAGAATACCATAATTCAGGCAATGGATAAAGTCTACTTTCTCTGATAATAGTCAGTGTAATCGAGATACACTGACTATTATCAGAAAAAGTAACAAAAAGTTAATGTCCTTTTAGTTATAACAATGAATTGCAATTACTTAATGTAATGGGAATACAAACATTAGACACACAGCTACATCTTTCATCAGTATAAGTGGGATCATGTGTATGGCCGGTCTATTCAATCAGAGCTTTCAGTAATGGCATGTAGGTCATTAATGTGTGTAGACGCTACGTTATAGTCTACCTGGCACTTTCCCTCCACTCAGGATCCTCTCCATCCCTCACACAGATTTCATCCATCTCAGTGAAGAGGTCATGAGGAATATGCTCCTCATCATCATCCTCAGTACCCAGCAGGAACTGCACTCTCTGGGAGGGAGTGTCTGGGAACGCAAGGAGTTGCACAATTGAGTGGTTCGAACTGGAATGCTTCAGTTAGTAAGATATATCTGTCTGTGCTATAATGCATGCAAGTCTATGACTGTGGAGAAATACCATAAACAGGAGATTCTCTACCCTCCACCAAGGTGAGGGCCCGGTCACTGGTCCTCTTCTTGTGTTTGTTTCCATGGTGACGGTGCCTGCGATGGCTGCGGTGCCTGGTACTGCCCAAAGGGACATGAACCCCGATGTAGAGAGTCCTGTGGCCTGGAGACACACCCACACTGGTTAGAGGAGGATCAAATGCCTAAGTCTGTCTGTCTGTGCGTGTGTGTGCGTGTGTGTGTGTGTGTCTGTGTGTGTGTGTGTGTCTGTGTGCCTTCAAAAGCTTTACAGATAATCATTATGATTTAACTGATCGTGGTTTAGCACTACTTCTTTGTGTTAAGCTTTATATTATTTATTATGGGTTTCTGCTACATGAGGAGTGTTTTTATTGTGATGAAGTGCATCATAGATATTATGTAATAATATAATGCTTACTGCTGCTATATAATGTACCATACCACATTGAGCATCAAATTAATACCACCTGTTATGGATGTACAATAATACATTATCAGAATTATCTCGACTTAACAACAATAAAGAACGTGAAACATTTACTAGTAGTCACATTTGGTTCTGTATAAAGAGAAAAGCGACTGTTGTTGTTTGAGTATAAAAGGTTTTTATCTTTTAGCACCTTCTTTTGCTCAAAGATTCATTGAAAAGATACTTCATTTTGAGTTGTTCCTTTCTAAAAAAGAGCCACACTAAACCATCGTACCACCTTCATGAAAAAATCTAACTCTTTAGTAGTCTACATCATAAATAATCATTTTGTCCCTAAATATGTATGAAATAAAACAGGACATATCATGCTCTCCTCATGAAAATAATAGTTTGGTTATTATACAGTATGTGTTGACTGTTCAAATGTGCACTAAACTAAACCAAGTGTGAAAAAAAACACATGTCTAAATAGAGTTTTTGGTGATGGATGAAAAATATTAAAAAGTTGCGGCATAAGTGATCTGATATACAAACATACAAATAAATGATCACTATTTGTATGGCATGAAATTACAGAGTGATCTAGTGAGGTTATAGTCTATATAGTATAGTATAGTATCTATATACGTATAGTATACTTTAGGCAATACATGAAAGCATATTGCATAACGTGTGACAAGAAAGGTGTGAATTTACGGTTCAAATACATGACGTGTAAAATTGAATGCTACAATTATCTACCAATGAGAGATTTTTTTTTTATCTGCCGTCTTCTATGTAAATTAATATGCATATACTCTGATATAATTGTGTTGCCTGGTTGTTAATTTATGCATCCATTCTTCTACCTTGCACAACTATGTTTGCATGCCCATGTTTGTTTTCTGTGCAGGTATGAGACAGCGTGAGTGAGAGAAAAAGAGAGCATGTCTGTGTTTGCACTTGTAAGTCAGCCCACTCAGCTCACTGCAGTATGACATGAAAATTCACCTCATACAGCACATACAGTGCTCTCCAGAATGATTGGTACAGCTCTGCCAAAATGCTGGGCACAAGTAATTAACCAAGATATTCTTTATTTGGTATTTTGGATTTAAAACTATGGGCATAGGGTGTTGTTCTGAATATTGACAATTAAAAAGCACTGTATTAGTTATTGACACCTGTTCAACATCATTTTATTGATTAGGTCAAATCAACTTGGGTTTAATATAGCTACATTCTTTAAATAAATGCCACACACATTATAATATTTTTACACTTCTCAAAATAATTCTCATGTATTTTGCAGCTATTTTGGACAACTTTTTATTTTAAAGTTTTGTGGAGGAGCTCTGGGAAGAAATTGCAAAGAGGAGCCGTAACAATGTGCCTGATAACTACTATTTAAAACACTGAAGTCTTACTGATGAGTAAAAGTTCAGTTCAGTTGAGTGCCATCAAATATGCAAAGGCAAGTTGTTTACAAACCTACTGAAGCAATGTGATTAGCACACACACACACACACACACACATGAGATACACACTACTCACACTTACAGTAGTGTCAGGCTTTACATCTGTCCATCTGCATTATGGCAATATTTACTATTTATACACTTTTAATGTGAGTGTAAAGCTAAAGCTGAAAAGCTGCGTATTGTTGACTGTGTCTGCATATATAGATGGGGAAAGCTGTTGGCCTTTAGTTACCCAAAGTTACTCAATCTTACTGTTTGTATCTTTGTTTTGATTGTCCATGTTTTTCACTGGTTATGAAATTGCTGATGCGAACTCAGCTCACCCACAGTTTTCTACCTCCCACTCTGCTCTTATCTTTTAACTATGAAAAAGCTGTCAAGAGGAAAGCAGCAGTTGCAAGTACAGAGTAGGCGGACTCAGCTACAGCAGCCTTTCACTGCTTGAAGCTTTTTGTATTCCAGATGCATTCGGTGTCCGTCCAGGTACCTTCTAGATCTTCCTTCTCAAAGTTGGTTCCCTGTTGGGATCGGGTTCCTCCTCTGTCCACCACAGCCTCGTCGTCATTCCTCTGTTGGAAACATATTGGCAAACAGACACACACACACACACAAACATATATTCAATATTATAAATATTATTCAAGAGCACAGTCATTCAGTATTTTATCATCTGGAAGTGGAACATAAGACAACATTACTACACTAATGTGTCCTGAACATAGCATGAAATTCAAAGATTCAACGTTATTTTATTGTCATTTAGAATGCAAGGCTGGCGATGAAGTTTAGATATAGTTCCCTTTATGCTACTTAAAAAATAAATTAGATTAAAGAGTCATAAAAATAATGCTGAGGACATTGTGAACAAACACATTTTCCAACCAAATAGCGCAGTTGCCATGGATACTAATTGCACATCTAATATTGAAAAGCATCAAACAAAAAAGCTTTTTATAATGGGAACAATAAATTACCCACCTACAGTTAAAAGTTTTACTTCTGTTTTGAGGAGCTTCCTTTGCAGTGACCTGTACAGTTTTGTTAATGAGAGCCAAGCTCAAAAAGTGACTCACTGCTTGACTTGAATTACAAAAAGTTTGGTAAAGTAAGTTCAGTATCATTGATTTATCCATCTTCTTCTACCCACCACCCACACTACTCCCGTTACAACCACAAGATACACTTGTAATTTGAGGAAAGAAATACAATTATTTATCAGGCTATATTCCAAATAAATAAACCAGTGTGTGGTTATAAGCTTTGATATTATGCTACTAATTCTCAGTAACGAAGACACGCAAGTTATGAAGTCATGTGGGGTTATCCAAACTTTCACATGTTAACAGGCTATGCAAGCGCAGAGTTTTTGTCCAATTACAAGAGAGAATACTGAATGGCCGCTAAGAATGTCATTAAGGCTGTCTGAGCACAAGAGATTTCCCATAGATCATCCTGTTCTACTGAACCAACAGGATTTTACGTCCTCATAAGTACTGCACAGCCGTTTCACATGTGACAAAAGTTAATTAGCAGTTAACCACAACCACTTAAATTCTGTGAAAGCTCTACAAGAGACCTGCAGTCATTGCCTTGGCAGGAGATGGCCTAGAGCACATAGATCTACTTGATTAGCGTCAGATCACTGAGACAACCAGCATTCTGTGGTGTGAATGTCAGTCTGCTTATGTATTACAGAAAGAAGATGAGAGGGAGTAGGTGGTAAGAGAGAATCGGTAAAACCAACAGAAATCATTATTTGTCATTTAGCAGTGCAGGCAAGAACAAAAACTCAACTTTCCAACATTACACAGATGAATTTTTGATATCTGAACACCAACACACGATCACAACTTGGCATGAGCATTCGCAGCTAAACTGTGCAGCCTCAAACAGGCACGCAGGAGAGGAGTGGAGAAGTACATGAAGAGGCTGAGTTGGGGTACAGAGAGGTCACTGCAGTCTCTATAGGAACAAAACAAACAGCCCGCCCACTACCTGTGAAATGAATGTGTCATCATGGTTGCAGGGAAAAAAAGCTGAACATTATGAGGCAAGTCTGGGAGGATGTTAGCAAAATATTAATACATACCTTTTTTTTATCTAGGATAAAACATTTCTAAATCCTTGGTAGGCTGAATTTCACCTTTGACATGCATGACCCATTTCAGAATAATGTATATCATTATAATTACTGATACAGTATAATGTGCACATCACTTTGATGTTGCAGCTGCTAAATGTGGAGCTCATTTCATCAACTTCATATACTGTCATGTAGCTTAATCCATAATAATACATCATAATTTTATGGTTGATTTATGTTATACTATTAATTTTAATCTACAAAGTAATTAATGTTGTCAAATAAATCTGGAGTGAAAAGTACAAAATTGTCTTCCAAAATATATCAACTATTACTATAAAGTAGCATAAACTGGAAATATAATAATTCGATATTTTGGGAAATTAAATTATTTGCTTTCTTGTTTGATAAGAAAATGAAGAAAATGTATACCTCTGGCGTTGTCTGCTCGGTAAATTATCTTAGTTCAGTCAGGACCACTTTTGTCAAAATATCTTTTATTCCAAAGCAGAATATTACATTTGGCGGTATGGCTCTGTTCTGGGACCTCCTTGTCCTTCCACGTGCCTCATGGAATAGTTAAAACAAGGAGACGGCAGCAGAGACCCCCCCCAGCTGGTACAGAACAGAGCAAGCATCAAGGCAATCAGAAACATTGACATTTGATAAAATTAGAAACAGCATAAAAAGGAGGAGCTGGTGGTGGAAGGTGGTTGCAAAAAGAAGGCTTGTAGAGGAAGCAGCAGAGATATGGCAGGCTAAAGCAGCTTAAATAAGCGTACAATTGATTAATTGGATGCTTGAGGGAATCAGGTGAGCTGTCAGCTGACTGTGTATGGTTTCCAATAGGAAGCTTAGAGGAATCAGCTGATCCATCAGCTGATGTATGTTTATGACTAGCTGTGATCATATGATATAGCTGTAACTGAGAGCTGAGCCTGACTTCGTGGCCTGCCTGAACTAACTATGCTCAATTTTAGCATAAAGACTGGAAATGGCTCTGTCCCAAAGGTGACAAAAAATTTGCCAACTAATTAACATGCTTTATCCTGTTGGTTTAATCAGCGCAAAAACCTTAGTGCAAATACAACAACGTGTAGTAAACCACATATTTTTATATTCCTTTTACTTAACCAATTGCTAATGGTAGCAAACTAACAGGGATTCAGTTGCTTATGTTGTTATACACAATAACTGACACATGCAACTGTGATCAATTGGTGGTGCTTGGTTAAAGGTCAGGGGTTCAACTATTGATCCTCTTTGGACTATGAATGCCTACACTAATTCTCAATTTTCACTCTGAATGAACATGTTGGACTGATAATGCAGAGCAACACAGGTAGTGTAGTTTCATCATATTTTAAACTGTAGCTGATTAAAAATAAATGCATACAGAAAAGAAAAAAGAAAAACCAACATTACTACTGCAAACAATGTTTGCTGAACAATCTGTGGAATGTGTGACTTATAAACACTGTAAATATTTAGACACGATTACTTATCGGAGCTGGGCACCATGCTGGTGTAGATTAGTGCGCCAGTGGTATGGACTTAAGAGTAAAACTCATTTGTCACTGTCATTTACTGTAAGTCCAAGCAGCAACAGCTGGGATTGAGAAAGCAAAACAAACATACAACTGTTTTTACTGCTGGAGTGGCTTCTGCAGGATCAATCCTTTCTCCTGGAAATTACAAACAGATTCAAAGCACTTATTACAGCAGGTATTTTTATCCTGAAAGCTTGATATCAGCTTTTCCCTGAACCATCTTGGCCGCCAGTTGACCATCGAAGCATTATGATAATGAAGGGCACTGCTGTTCACAGCTGCAGTGTCACATGGGCTGGCCAGACCACAAGGCTGATGTTGATAATCTGTCTACAGATATACAGGGCATGGATCAACATCCCTGCTCAGATTAAACTGCCAGTATTTGTTACCAACACACCAGCCGCATAAACCCACATTAAACCTGCACTGTGCTCACATACAGTGGTTACATTTCTAAAAAACGATATCATAGTTTTTGTGTAATTGGTTGCACGCATTTATTAATACTGAGTTCAACTCTTTACACAGTCTGCACAACAGAGGTTAGTGTGGATTAAATTGAGGATCACTTTTAATTTGCTTGACACAAAATGCATTCAGTGACCTCATCTTTCAAAATTCAGAAACTTTTTTCCACCATGAAAACTCAGTATAGTCACACTCCAGTTTGCACATGTTTACATGGCTGCTATTGTCAAAACTTTACATATCCAAAAATGACTTGCTATATTCTGCTACATGTACACCTGACCTGATGTTAAAATGTTTAAATTGCTAATAAGGAACACTGAGCGCCTATTTTCATTCCTATAAAAAAGACTGAGGAAGAATCCATAACATTATGTAATTGTATGGGACAATATGGTGTTCCACCAGTCTCTTCCAGTCACATAGTGATTTACAGCCTATCCCAGTGTCACTTTTCCTTCCACCTTACTCTCCATTCCTCAACTCCATATAGAGGAATTCTTTTCCTCATGAAGATGGAAAGTTGATGACCACCAATCACATCAGATGTGCTTCTTAGATGCAATTAATGATGGGTGTCTGGACATTATCAGGGATCAGACACACAAAAATATTCTTTGCCAGTTGTATTGCAGAGGATATAAGGTGAGATGTGGATGATAACTTGTGGCCAAATGCAGAAGAAAGTATTTCTACATTTGTAGCTATCCTGTACAAGTATAATAAATATGTATAGTTTTGCTTTGTATTACTGGAATACTTTAGTTTTATTTGGTGCATTTGTAAATACTGTATGGCAAAAACAGCTAAACAAATAAAACATATTGTGGCACTTCTGATTTATTCCTGGTCACACTGTAAATTAACACAATCCATAAAGAAATGCCCTTCCTCTTGTAATGGCATTTTGGTTTATGCTGAATACATAAATAAAAGATACTTCAAAGACAATAGTGATACACACTACAATCCTTCCCATTGTTAGTGTTGTTGTGTGCTCAGTGACACAGTGTTGCTGTTGTCAGACATATGTTGTTAGTGTTCTGGTACAAGAGCATTTTGGATGTGAGATTAACTGTTGGGCTAAGCTGCATGTCACTAAAGAGAACTTGAAAAGATATGTTAGCAATTCTAAAACGACTATAATGTCCCCTAGGGAGGATATCTTACCCTCATATTCCTTAATAAGTGCACTGCACTCACTTAATGTAAGCCCTCTGGAAACAAAGGTCCACTTGAAGCAAATTCCATGATGGTTTTGTGTATGAACAGACTCATTTTGCCATTCAAAGGGGTTGATTGGACAAAGAGATGTCAGGATTTAACATTAACACATAACCATGACAGATCTACTCACCAGAAAAATCATGTTAAAGGACTGGCAAACCACACAGCTGAAGTGATATCACAGGATGTGGCACATATTTGGATCTGATCCCTACAGATGGCTGTGGCAATTTTGGAACCATCAGTGGCAGCAATATCATTAGCTGCAAGGCTTTCATGTGGCACTGTAATCCTTAAATGTTTCTGCCATAAACTTCAACATCCTGTAAGAGGACACATTAGTACCACTTTTTTTTTCATAAATGCTATTTAGGTGTTTTACAGCTTTGAGTTCTCATTCTGGCAGCCTTAATATCTACATCAATCTCCAAGCAGCATGATGGATCAGTAGTGGTTAAAAAGCTCTTTTGCATTTTGCCAGGATTTTACTCTCATTTTGGTCCATCTACAAAATGTCCACAAATTCTGTCCTGTGAAACACACCTTGCCCTCGGTTAGACACAACAAAGAAATCCTCAATCAAAGATGCACTTAAAGTCAATAAACCAGTGAATACATTAGCCATGTTGTCACAATATTGAAGATGACGAGCAAGTGTCTTCCTACCTGATATTTGAAGCCCCAAGGAGCCTCCAAGTTTTCAGAATTCATGAGCTTTCCCTTCTGTGTCGTCTGCTTTCAGTTTAGACCGAGTGCAACACGCTGAGCTCTACAGTGCAAACTCCTGCTGCCCTGCTCACACCATGCCTGGTAGCTGCTGATGCCCTTCTGCTGTGTCAAACAACTGTAATTTCTGACTGAGCATCTATCGACAGAGTCACCAGTCTCTCATCGTGAGATTACAGCTGTGACATCATCGCCGCCGCCCAACAGCGTCTTATCAAAGACAAAGCTTGATTGCTATAGATGAGCTTGTTACGTCACATCAAATCAACTTTGTCACTCCAAGAGTGTTTTGCAGCTCCACCAGTGAGTCTTCCTTCTATGTGCAATCTTAAAGAAAACCTCAGTGCAACATAACTTGATCACAGTTTTTAACTGTGATCCTCGTAAAAGGATCGTAACTCACCAAACTCCTACGTCCAACTGATGAGCCAAGGAAAGAGTTGACCTGAAAGATCAAAAATGATATATTTAGTTTAACAGGTTGAAGGGTTCATATACATGTAGTATATATAAACAGTGTAATTTAGAAATGAATCAACCCCTCCAGACATTTTTTTCTCCAGATCAGATAAAGATTTACTCTGAAATGTTATTTTTAAACTCTTAAATGTTTAGTGAGTTTTAAGGTCAGGTTGTAACCAAAGCCATGTGGCTTTCAAAGTATTGTACAAGGGCAAAGAAACTCTCAGTCTAAAAGCCTGTTTGTCTAAAACCTCTTCAGCTAAATGGAAAAATCTGTTTTGATGAAAACAGCAAATGGATAATGACAACAAATCTCCTCCAAAATGATCAGCAAAGACCAGTGGGGATGGGCCCACGTGTCTCTGAGAACATCCCCTGAGATACTTTATTTTCTTTTATATGAATAGGATTTAAATTTGTCCAAAAAAGACTTGTAGAAATAGAGTTTGTTTGTGAAAGGATATCTGTGTGTGAGATAGCTGCCTGAGCATGCACTCGTACAGCATCACCCAACCATACATTTACTGCACTGCACATACATCAACCTTAATCTGTCACAATTTCATTACAGCATGATGAGACGCGATCACTTCCTCTGAATTTACTATATTAATAGGACATCTGTCAAAACAGGGATTTGTCATATATAAAAATGATATAGCACAGTGTAATTGGACATTACTTAATCACTCCAACAGTGTACTTGTTACTTATCAAACATCAAACTTAAACATGAATAACTGGTGAAAGCCTCCTGGTAGTAACTTTTGCATCTTACTTCTTAAGATTATGTCACATTGTGGCTCACTGAAGAATTGATTAGACTAAAAGAAATTATAAAAAATAATCAGAGCAGGCTGTCAAACCTTTTGAGCCAGAGAGATAAAGTCAGTTTTGTAAGTTCCTGCAGTTGAGCTACAACCCCAAAGCTCACACAGGTACTTTATCCCCTATGGAGACTTAAACATTTTTGCATCTGCCTCCTGAAGAAATTGTTGCCTTTTTAATAACATATTTCAACATTTTAACATTAGTCTTCAAGTAGTATAGCACATAGATTAAACTTGACAGTCTAAAAAAAAACCGACTTCCTAAAATATTAATCAGTAAATATTTGTCCCCAGGGATCAATGCTCTTTACCGTCGGTAGCAGCGGCTCTATCTGAGCACCTTGGTCCGTGGTATCCATCTTCTTCCCTCAGCAGTTATCAGAGAGCTGGAGCAGAGACCTATTATTATCCCGGCAGGTGTAGCAGTAAGTGAGCGACCACACATGCAGTCACATGTTTATAATCGTCGTCGGTCAGCAGCTCGGGGATGATTTGCGCCTCTTCGTGCTGTCCTCGTTCATAAAACACATGCGCATCTCTGCTTCCTGACGTGGACGCGTCACTGTTGAAATGTTTAACCTTTGTTTCAGATGCAGAGCTGAGAGGAGACTGAACATCTAATCAATATGAAAACAGCAGAGACCATATTTTCTGCGTAAAGTGTTCCGTGGAGTGTGTGCTTATCTGTCATCCCAAGTTATGTAACAGTTTCATTGTGGTTTTTATTAGACCCGGTGGGCTCACGAGGACCATTCTCTCTCTGCTCTGCAGTGTGTGTTTTACTCATATGTCCATATATTTCCAATTCCATACAAATTCTCACTCATACATGGAACTTAAACTCCAAAAAGCCAAGTAAGAAATTGAGTACTGATTAAAAAAAATATCATCTGGTCATATTTACAAACTCTCTGTAGGAAATTACTTTGTGTTATAATGATGTCTTTCCCATTAAATGAAGACCTTTTTCTGAGACATCTTGTAATGTTAAAATGAACTTGGACAGATGGAAAGCAGATATATTGCTATTGAATTTAGCAGCACACTGTGGATAAAACTCAGAGCAAAGGCACAAAGTAAGAGATTCTCATAAGAAGTGACAAAAAAGTCAGAGAAAGACATTATCCCCATTTTATTGTTTTTGGGGTGTTATGGTGGAGCAATAAGAGCATGCATGTGATTTACAATAACAAGCACAGAGGAAGGTCTAGATTATGTGCCTCTTCAACTTGAGGCCCCTGAAATTGACACATTTAACCCAATTGCAAGGCAGCAGTGAGCTTCCTGCTGTACATTCAAAGGTGCTGTACTACATCTTAGAATCAGTATCAATTGATTAAATTAAAGCTTTAAATTAAAACTTAATTTCATAGATATATCAAATTCTTGCTATAAGGCTTTGGGGCCTTTACCTAGTATAGAGGGTCCCACTTGGTCCATATGGGTGCCGGGTGTGTTCACACCACCTATGTCAATACATAAAGTTTATATAAGGATATAGTGAAATATATAAATGTGACATATAAACACATATCTGTGTTATTTGAGTCACAATCGGTGTAACTTTGGTTAGTTGTCAGGGAGTGTGTATGCATTTTTGTTACTGCAGTGCTTTTCATCATCAGGGATTCCTTCCACTGATATAATAATAGTAAAGTATCGCCATCTGGTGTAGATCTCATTCCATGTGTGGTTGAATCCAGGAGTAAACCGCTGTACGGCTTTTAATTAAGTCATAAATAGAAGTTCGTTTATTAATAAATCTGTAGATTTGTCATTGCTGCTGCTGGACTGCACTCACCTCTGAGCCACATAATGAAGAGCTGTTTGATTACAGGACCTGCATTCAGTTATCGCCATCTGCTGTTTATTCCTGGGAAGGCCTATCACTGACTGTCACACACACACACACACACACACACACTTTATGACAAGCTAAATGCCACACGTCTTAACTGACAGCTGTGTGCATCTCTTTCACACTGAAATTCCAATTAAGTGCACATTGAGCTTCTAATGTATCACTTTTAATTATATTTCTTAACTTCATAATTTGATTGCAGTGTTCAATAACGTTTCAAAATGACGTAATTAAAAATCGGATCATTCGGGAACCATTCAATCAGCAATTAAGCAATCAATCTGCAATCAATTGAAGTTTTAAAACAACTTTAACCCCATATTTTATTTAGGTGTATATCCTTACCCCTGTCTTCTGCGGGTTTGTTCTGGTTCACATTCTCACACAGGCAAGACTTTCTTTAGATGTGTCACTTCCTTTGGCTGCCGAACAGAAAACTTGTCAACTTCACAGTTCTTTTTTTTTTTTTTTTTTGGTGGGGATTTTTTTTTTCAGTGCGACTATGACAAAAAAAACTTTTCGCCCTCTTAGATTGGCAAACAAACTCATTCCAACCAAATGCTGCTGCAACAATCCTTATTGTTGAGTCAGACAAAAATATATAATCCATTCAGTCAGGTATTTCATTTTTAACCACCTGGATCACTTTGAATGGAGACGAATATAAAAGTTACACATTGGCATATAATAGTCGGGCTCCATTCACAGGGTTCCCGCTATTAGGCAGCCATTATTTTTGTGCCCTCTTTAATTTACCATTTTTAATTTTTTTTTAACTGTGCCGTTTTTGCCACGTGGAAATCTCATTAAATTGGCTTTGATATATATTTTTTTCACCTTCATATTCTAGACCAATCAGTGGAGACACAAGAGGGCAGGGACTCCAATTTAAAGAAAGTGTCTCTGGGAGCCTCATAAGAGATAGGATTGTCTCTCTTGAGCATCACCTAATTGGGATCATATCTAATTGATCCGAGTGAGATTTAAATAATTCTTCATTTTTGTTCACTTTACTTTGGAGCGCGTTCACAGAGTCCTGATGTGACCGCTTTAAAATGACTGGAAAGATGCTCCACGTGATGCGTTCACGGGGAAAAAAAAACAGTAAACACATCATTTGTCTGGTTTAAAGACATTTTAAATGCAAACTGGAGCATGCCATCAATATATAAGAAAAAATTACTTACTTATCCCCATGATAACATCATTTATTACGTTTCAATCACATTACACCAGATACAGAGATTTTCACAACAGCATAGCATACAGGCTATGAAAAATAAGCGGCTGAAGGGAAATAAATAAATAAAAAAGACTCTAAGTCTACATTACCAACATGTATAACTTATTTAACCACAGTTTTTCATGAATGTAGCAGTGATCAATAACGTCATAAACTTTTGGTAGCCTACAGCCTTGATAAAGTACAAAATACATATTTTTTTCACTGACAGGGATTATTATGCCAGCATATGCTACACAAGAACGTTTAATGTACATATTCTCAATATCTTTCTTTACTAACAGTTTAGGCTACGTAACAGAAGAGGTTGCGCTTTTTAAAACACTACTTATGAATCAGATTTAATCTATTTTGTGTACATCCAATCACTATCACCAATTGTATGTACATTATATTCATAATTACAGTGTTTTCTTACTTAACAGTGTGGACACAAGGCGCCCGACCCATGACAGAAGAGATGAGTGGAAGAATTTACACTTTGGCCATTAACTGTGGAGGTGACAGTCCTTTTCATCTTTTTTTTATTGGTTAACCTGTAGATAGATAGATAGATAGA